AAGGTTACATCAGCAGAGCATTGCTGGGAAATCTCATCTGTAATTTCATGAGATCTCAGGGGAAAGCATTTTTCTCCCCTGAGATGATGTGCATGGTCACATGTCCTAGTCACATGTGCCAGAGTTCCAGGAAGTAAAATGAGATCTAGTAATCTGCCCTTAGTAAACATGGCCACGATCAGAAGATTGGGAAAGAAAAGAGAAACAAGGTATGCAAAGAATACAAAGCCTGCAATTATCTAGAAGTATGTGTTTTTGTAGATTTTCATTACTAAATATTTATATATAAGATGTGTTTGTTGTCATTTTAAAAATATAGTTAAAGGTCCCCTTTAAAATTCACATTGCACGTTACATGGTGAAAGATCTTTCATTGTACTATACAATGATGACATGTACTACATAGTTTGTCTTCTGAAGCAGTTGAAGGCAGTACCAACGAAATTGGTCAGAGATTACACAGACAGGGGCACCGGCCAATGGGTTTTGCTGTGGGTGGCTGTCTCTCAGAGTTCCCCATCAAGTCTGATGTGACTGACAGTGGAAAGCCGTGGGCAGATTCCATAGCCGCTAGTCTAGCTGCAGCTACAGACTAGGAGATTCCTCAGCCGACAGCTGACTGTAGAAAAAGGGCTGAGGATGCCATCTGACATCTTTGCCCAAATACCAAATATGGACATGGCCAGTTGAATGTAAACAACGGGTTGGGGGATGTTGGCCATGGCCATATTTGAGTAATGAGTTCAGCCAGCTTCACCTTTGTTTATATTTAGCTGGGGTCCAGGGAGTCTGCTTACATCTTAAGGGCACCCAGTCACTTCAATGGACTGTCAAATGTGCTTCTCCCACCCCCCTCATGTTTCCTATGTATGCTACACTGTTCCTCCTGTGGGCCTGGCACTGGCATGGTGGGTGTGGGCTGCTATCCCCCCCCCCTTGTGACGCCACTGCATGTGAATATCTGTTTGCTGATCTCCCCTCCATGGAATGAACCTGTAAGCAACAATTATTTAATTTCCAGTTTTAGAGCTGTCATCCCTGGCTGCTGTGGCCGGAGATAAGGCTCATCAAGCATGATCTGTGCTTGATCAGCTTCATTGAAGTGCAAAGGGGACATTAGGAGTCTGATAGACCCATAAATGTTTCCTTGTGAGCATATAATGATATCACATTGATAACAATAAAGTTAAGTAAAAGTTTTAGCTTTAAATTAAAATTAAAACACACCAAAATTGTTTTCAAGTCCCCCACCCCTGCATTAATGCACATACTTACACAAACAGACGTTGGTTGCACCCAGTGGCGTCACAAGGGGGGTGCGGCCCGCACCCGGGTGACACCAATGGAGGGGTGACACCAAAATGACTGGCAGTCATTTTGGTGTCACCCCCCTCTGAAAAGTCGGGCACTCGGTCATGGACCAAGAGCTCGACAGTTGCAGGAGAGAGGAGGGGACCCGGCGGCATACCTTATCCCGGCAGGTGAACGTCCCCTCCTCTCTCTGCCGGCACCCATCACCAAGATGGCCGCCGGAAGGTATCACAAAGATGGCAGCGCGTGCACGATGATGTCATGGCGGGGTGTCACTGGTATCCGGCCTCGGGATGCCCCTGGTTGCACCTACATAGAAAAATGACAAAAGGAATACACCTATTGGGTATAGTGCCACACGCCAAAGTGAGAGCAATAATTTTAGGGCCAATATTCAAGGTTAACTCTAAACTGATGACCTGTAAAAGTTTTGAAAGCCTTGTATATAGACAATCAAGGGTACCATAGTTTTACAGGTGTACCATTTTACAGGTGCACACAATTTTGAAGCATGACATGTTTGGTATCTATTTACTTGCTGCAACACCATCTTTTATCAAAACAGTGGGTGTAATATTGTGTATTTGTGCACTAAAATCCATTTAAATTTATTTTTTTTGACAATTTGGGATTCATGGACAGTTGAGTTAATATTGTGTGATATAACAATTGCAATTGCCCCATCCATTTTACTCTACAAGGTCTCCGCTTTAAGAAAATACAAACTTCTGGGGGGTGGAGGTTGGGGTTAACTAATCTTCAGGCCTAAAATGAGCATGAGTGCAAAAGTAAAATGCAAAAAAGTGCTAAAAGGATCATAAGAAACAACTGTATTCATTTGGATTATTGGCATTGTTTAGCTTACTTATTGCATTAATGGTACCATTATTTGCCTTTCTAAGACTGGACCTGGAATGTAACACTTTATAGAACAGCATATTTGAAATTCTTGTATGCTGTCTAAATAAAACATGAAAGCAGGACGTCATAGGAGCGTGACTTGACTTGGGTAGGATGTAAAGGAGAAGAAAAACAATTGGGTTTAACCTGCTGGCCATTGAAGAAGTGAAACAGCTATTTAACTTCCTCAAGGCCAGTATATATTTAGTGACAGTCTGTGCTGAGACGGGAAGGAAATATGGAGTTGTGTTCCATTCTAGCATCTTAATCATTTCAGGCAGCCAGCAACATGTCATCCTACCAGAAACACATGCACAAACACATCATTGTGGCCACTTCACAGCTGAGGATGTTGTTGTTTTAGGAAGTACCACTTCTTCACAAAATGCTCACAACTGGTTTATTAACGTCTTTCAAAAGTAGCATAAAAGAAAGCTATAATGGTTTTGGGTCAGTTGAAAGTGTACCTGTATGTAAAACCCAATTACTAAAGTAGTGTAAATAGCTTCCTTTTTGCTTTGTCAATGTAGTTGTGCAAGTTTTTTCTATATACTGGGGTGAGTAATTGTTTTACAAATACCAAAAGATTCGGTTTCTGCTTTCTTTTTCTAAAGGCATTTTTTAAAATATTGTGACCACCAACTCCCAGCTCTGCAGAATAGTCATCTCCTTGTGCTTTCATCCAATCCTTTAATGTAACTGTCCCTTTTCTTGGCTTATTACAGTTAGTGGAAAAATAATAGATATATAAGATGGATCAATAAATGATAAAACTATGTTCCTGGAGGGACAAGCACTGCCGTGTTAATGCTCATGACAGATATAGTTTTATTTAAAATCATGGTCCACCTTTTGAACCATGTTTCATGTTACACCCATATTTAGGATGTAACATGAAACATGATCGAATACACCATTTTCAAAACCCACATTGCCCCATCCCCCTAACCTAAATAGCAGGATGAAACGTCTTTGGGAATCCTGTTTTTTTTTCTTGAATTGAGTATGGTTGTGCATGGCTCTGTCTACCTTAACCTTTCACACAGATTGCTGAATCAAAATACTACTAAGTCCTGTCTGCCAGTGTAGCAGGAGAGTGTGACGGCAGCAGAACGCAGTATGTTTTGCGATCGCACCTCACTGCAACGTGGGAATTGCTGTGCCGCGTGTTTTGGTGCGGGGGCAATCGCACTGAGGGCGGGAGGTATGTCTGCGGTGCCATTGACATGAATGGCACCACCATGCCCCCTCCCGTGCCAGAACGCGGGAGGCTTGGTTTATGCTATACAGTGTGTTCTAGGCACGAACTGTGTTGGAACACACTGGATATGGTGTGAACTTACCCTTAGAGAAAATACTTTTCCCTTAGAGGAAATGTGCTTCCTGCTCTCCCAATCTAGTTGAATATGCTGGCATAGCCAAGTAGCAGGCAAACTCATCAGCACAAGTGTCCTCACACTGACTTATAGAACAGAGGAAGAGAGGAGTTATGTCTGATCAGTTCGGTTACATTACAAAGTGCACTGTCAAGCTTTGGTACCTATTGGACTGTGCAGTCATAATTAGAGGCACTGTACAACTGTTACACATGGATGTAACACTAGGGAAATGGAGGTTGTAAGTACAGTGTCTATCTAAATAAAGATTGGTTTCTGTCACTTCACCTGGGCTTTAAAGAGACACTATCATTGGTCACTTGCCGTCCGGAGCAATTTCTTATTTTTTGCACGTACATGACAAAATCTGAATTTGTTGATAGAAAAGAACTTAAAACACCCCAAACAATATATTTTCTGAGAGCAGAGGCCCTGTAGAATAAAGAAAATGCTAGTTGCACAATATTTGCACAAATATCAAACTAGTATTTTTAAGATAAAATACACTAAAATTAATTTTAGTATACACAAACAGAATATAATAGCCAATTTATAAGATAATATAGAATATAATGGTAACATATAAAATATAGGGTTGTGTAGGGTAAATAGATACCAAACATGTCAAGCCTTAAAATTGAATGCGCCCATGAAAATCACAAAAAAACACAATACTCAAAATAGCCCATTTTGATTGATGGCCCTAGAATGATTGCTCTCGCTCTAATGTTCGTGGCGATATGTAACGTGTGGCACAATAGTCGTTTTTGTATGCAGGCGCACTCAACGCCTGCTTGCGTTGTATGTGCGTGCACGTGGGGGCAGGGGCCTTTAAAAAATGTTTTGTGCCTTTCACATTTTTTAAAATATGTGGCTTTAAACCGCGTAAAAGAAAAAAGCTGTTTCACTAATTGGCCAGTTAGCTTTTATATCCTTTGCAAATGAGTTGAAAATGGCTGGTGCACAGGCTTTCAACAAAAGGAAATGGTGAACAGAATTCTGTATGCCACTTCAAATAAATAGGCTGCTATATTATGTTACCTATTAGCAGAAATTATGTAGAATATTGATGAGATTGTGGTGAATAATTTCCCTATAATCTTATATTTGCAGAAACAAAACTACTGCGTTCTACCTCTATTGGTTTATAGTGATGACCAAACCTAAAACAGGTGGCATACAAAAGACGTGCAGTGTTTTATCAGGGGTGTGGAATTCCTATTGCCCGTGGCCCGGGACACACAGCTCGGGGCCCCGGGTGAGTAGCTTTTTTTTCTACATTTAGCCCCAGTTTGGGCAGGCAGCTAATTGTGTAGTGTGGAAGCCGTTTTGTACAGGTGATCTTGAACGGTTGTACAGCCGTCCAATATAACTTGTAACCTGCCTCATTCTCCCTCTTCTCCCCTCACTCACCACTCCTCTCTCTCTTCGGCGACCGTGTCCCCAGCCGCTGCCTCTAATACCGCTCCTGGCTGCCTGTCTCCCTGCCCGCTGGCTCCCTTTCTGACGTGGTCTTCGGGGTCCCCTCGCTCTTCTGGGAGACCCGGGACCACAGCAGATTAGATTAGGTTAGAGAGCACGGAGCAGAGCCGAGAACGTCCATTCTCTGCTCTGTGTGAGCAGTGACGCAGGAATGCTCGCAGCCTTCCTGTCACAGTACTGGTTGTAGGTGACAGGGTCAATAAAGAGAACCTGTCACCTCCAAAAGCTATCACACAGGGGCTTGTTAGTCCATGTGTGATAGCAATAAAGTCAAGTGAAAAAAAATAGTAAAAAAAATAATAAAATAAATAAGAATTAAAAATGTAAATGCATAAAAATGTAAAATAAAACAAATAATTAAAAATGGAAATAAATAAAAATGTAAAACATAAAAAGGCGATAAAGTAAAAAATAATAAAATTAATTAAAATAAAAATTTTTACAAAGTAAAATAAAAAAAATAAAGTAAATAAAAAATAAATAAATCACCCCCAGTCGTGCCAGGTAGATTGTGCAGTTTCCCGCCACAATACCGCCCTTGCAATCACGTCTAATCGCATTTGAAAAGACAGCATGTCTCGTAAAAGGTACATGTACTTTCTTTCTGCACCAGCCTTAAGGGTAAATTCACTTTCCCAAGTAATTTGGGAAACTGGAATTACCCGCACAAATCTGGTCCCCTCTCCCTCCTTACTATGCTTACTTTTCAGCGAACAGTCCTTCCCGTCTGCCAGTACGGGGGTGTACTATCTGTACCTGTGCCATGTATTCTGAATTTCGCTTGCAAAATGCAAGCACTCGTTGATCACCTGATGGCACTGACCAATGAGAAGCGCTTCTTAGCACTGCTAAATACAGTTTTGGTTAAAATAAAAAAAAATTGTATCGGGACAAGTAGATTGTCATCGGGCCCCCGTTTAGTCCTTGGACAAGCATTTTTTTTTTTCTCATAATTTCCACACCCCTGAAGTTTTATAGAAAGTCTGACCCATGCCTTTAAAGGAATTAGTTATTAAAAGGACAAAAGCTGGTGCATTCATTACTTATGTAATTATGGAAACTTATGTAATACTATTGTAAAAGCCCCGTGTTTAGCTGCCATTACTGTGTCATGCATTTTACACATTAAAGCAGAATCTGATTTCTGTATACCAGCACCTGAGTATATAGCTAATAAGTACAATCTAAATGCACTATTTTAATTATCTATGTTGTATAATACTGCTAGTTCTTTGGGTGTGCAGGTCCCGCTCACTCTGCCTGGCTTAAAGGCTAAGTTCACCTTTTGCAAAAATGTAAGAAATGCATATTTAATAATATTTTTTTTTTAAATGCATTTCTTAAATTTTTGCATTCAAGCCTGGAAAGCATTGCAACTATGATCCCTCGATCAGGGCTGCAGAACTCAGGCAGAGCTCAGGCTTCAGCACATTCTCACGCAGGCAGAGCTCCATACTGAGGTACAGAGTTTCAGTTAGTAGAGATGGGGAAGGACGGCTGGACAGGAATAAGGACAGCTCTACTGCATCTAACCAGAGGGAGAGGGTGGCTGGATGCTGGATGAGGTGATTTAATGCAGTTTGAAGTCCAGACTACATGTCACTCTCTTTCTTTGGTTTGGTCCTTCAGTTACACATTTAATCAAAATAAAAAAGCAAATTCTTGCGGGGATGATAGAATCTTTGGCTTTATAATATATGTGGCATCTACAATAAGTATACATTCTAATTGGAATATCAGTATCTGCTGCTCTATAAGTATAAATTCTAATTGGGATATCAGTATCTGCTGCTCTATGGGTTGGCATGGGCCATAGTTCAAAATATCTATTTGTAACCTGAAGATAGCTTGGCATTAGTTGTGTCTGCATAGGAATGTCTTTTTTCAAGTACAAACATCCTGCATTCTGATCTAATAAAAATCACTTCCATGCCATGTTTTTTCTAACAGTCTGAAAATTCAGAACAATAGTTCAACTGCATAACATGTAAAAAAAAAGTGATGTCAAGTCAAAATAGCATACAGCATCTTATCTCCCTTGTGGTCACGGGGTGCAGATCTACTCCCACTGTATCATGGAACTTAAAAAGGAAGCTAAAAAGTTTGATTTTATATTGATGGAGAGTCTTTTGCAATTCTTTTTCTACAAATTAAAAGTAAAACAACAATATTTTGCATTAGGCTCAATTCATGAGGCTTTACACAAGGATAAGGATTTTAATCCTTCAGGCTTTAATTTTCAAATCTAATTGGAGCAATTTGAAAGTACTTGTTACATTTTTGAAAATACAGATCCTTATCCTTATTGGTGTTTTAGCTTTGCAAAAGTCGCTTTTTTTCCAATGACGTTACTGAAAAAGAGCATGTGAATCTCTATTAAAATGATAATTTTAATAGAAAAACACATAGAACTAGTATTCTGATTAGTGAGCCAAGTGTTGCAATCAACTCAGATTTGGGTTTACCCTATCATGCTGTATAAAAAAAATTAAGAGTTAATTAAATTAGAATTAATTAAAATTAATTAGAATGAATTAAAAATACAATATGGCCTGTTCAAAAAAAATTTCATAGTACCTCAAAAGACTGGAAGGGGTTATTAAATAACTTCTAAAGACCTGGGAATTCTTCAGTAAACAGCAGAAAGATTACAAATGGAAGGATTTTAACACCAGGAGTGGGATTTTAATATAGGGCACTGTGTTGACAACAGTCTAAAATACACCACTGCTGTCAGAATGTGACAATGGCATTCTTAGCCTCACCCTGCTCAGAGATTTTTCAGCTCACAGGACAACAATCTAAGTGCCAGCATACTGAGAGCAATTGTCAGGGGGTCGGTTAACTCTGCATTTAGCCCTATACACACATGAACAGTAGCTGACACCACGTTTTAATGGAAACAAACAGCGTTCACAGTATCTGCTGTAACAATTCTGACCTTTAGATAATGTCTGTGAAACTCACTGTCATGCAGCCAGGGAGGTAACAGAGATTAAAATATGAAGCTTTCTTCAAAGAGGCAAGGATTTTTAATTATTGTTTTTTAATATGAGAAAAAAAGCAGTGCAATAAAAATATTTGCAGAAAAATATATTACAGAAATAACAATAATAATATAATGTGCCGAGCTACTAAATAAATAAATGTAAACATCAAAACATAAACATCAGTGCACAAAAGTCCCATAAAAGTGAAGATTCAAAAGTGATCACAGAGGTTATGATCCATAAAAAATGATGGAAATAGTGAAAGTGATAGAAGTGGTAATAGCGATCTTCTATCCAAACTCTTGCATACCGCACACCCAACAGATACTTCAATCCACAGGTGATAGAGTGGTGTGCAGGTGGGTGCTCACCTGAGCTGATGACCAATAAAGATCATAAAACGCTGTTCTCTTTTTGGCGGGGAGGGACACCTCTTAATTCCCTAGTTTGCTCAAAAAGCCAGTATAAAGGAAAATGAATGGTGAAAGAAACAATTCCGGGTTTAACTAATCCATTTTGAGGGCATGGCAGGGGGTGTGTCCATTGTGTAAATACAAGGTGCTGGAAAGTGTCCCTCTCTTCATCTCAGAAAGCTGGGAGGTATCATAAAAGTGTCAGGGGTACTTTGATATAACAGGTGTTCTGTATGCAGGTAGAGGTAGAGGAGGTAAACAGCCCAGGTTTAGGGAAGCAAGCTGGCCATACACCTTTATAACCATCGCAAGACTTTTGTCTTGCGATGGTTGTAAGGTAATTAAAAAAACGTACGATCTGCTCATCTTGGACAGGCAGATCGTACTTGCGATCATCGCAAGCCCTCCCCGCTGAGGGACGGGCTTCCGATGACTGCAAAGCTTGCGCACACCAGCCCGTGCGGCATTTGTCTTACGAGCAGGCCACAAACCCGCCGAAAATCGTACGATTCTCTCCCTGCTCGTAAGACAAAAGACGTGCGACCATACAGTAGAAACGATCGCACGCCTTCCATACATCTGCCGATTATCATATGATCGCGGGATTTCCCACGATTATCGTACGATAATCGGCAGGTGTATGGGCACCTTTACTCACCTACTCATATGTGAAGCACTCTGAGAATTTTATAAACCTCTCTGTAGTGGATTGGATGGAGTCTGATTGAGGTAAACTAAATAAATGGTCTAATTTTTAGATCATTGGCTTATTTATTAAACTTGTTCCCTGGAATTGCTCTTTCAAGTTATGATGATATAAAAACCTCAAATAATGCAGTTATTCATTTAATAAAAATCATTTTTTTTAGGTTTGGCTAAGTAAAGTAACTAAACTGTTCTGATATTAGACTCCTGTCACCCATTTACATCAGTATTCACGCTTGTGGTGGGGCAGTACTAGTAGCCAATTAAGTTCTGTTGATTGCACTGCATGTGTGCTGACAGGACGAGAGAGGAGAGTGAGCAGAGTGATGACTACATTAATGATCCGCTGCTCCTTGATAGCCCAATCAGCAGGCAACAGGTTTGTTCTTCACTAGCTGCTGCTTCAGTGGAGGTCAGGTAATGACTGTAATGTCTAATAAGGGTCTCCAGATCTCAAGACATGCTAAGCATCATTTCAAATCATTTAGCAGGTCAAAGTGTTTCATATATGCAATTTTAATGTGTATTACCGTGTTTTTCTAGAATTTAGATTTAAAGCAAGCCTGCCATTAGAAAAATGCGTTCTGAAAATGCGATTTGCCTGGATTCCATGCAGATTTTCCAGTCTAAACACTTTCTGTGTGACTGACCCATAACAAATACGCTGGTCAAGAGTTCTGGTTTCAAGTCGTTTGTTCCTGGACAGTGACTTAGAAAGTATTGAACCTAGAGATAGCCAGGCAACTAGCATTTCTGGAAGTAGGTCGTCAATGACAGCCTACATATTTCTATATATTTCAATGTGAAAAACTATACATATTTCCTCCACAAGATGGCAGTCAATTTGCACAGAAATGAACAGGATGTAGCACGCAATGTTAAGAATGTACTCAAATGTAACTCATATATCCAATTGACAACTGAAAGGTAAATCTTAATTGGTT